ATATATATATATATATATATATATATAATAATGGTTCACATAACTATGTGCTTGCACATTACTGCAGTATATTAAGCGAGTGAATAGTATTATCATTGAGGTAGCTATGAATCGTGGGCAAATAGGCCATTGTAAAAAGTGTACTCTCCATGAATTGGTATGGTAGTAGTTGGTTAAGGGTGGAACGTGTAAGGAGAATCTACAATATCTGTAACGGCGCCATCTCACAAATTCTATAAAACGCTTTCCGGTCTATTACCCAGACACTCAATTGTTGGTTATTTACGACAAGTTGCGCTGCTTAGTAAGAGTTGGCACCCGTAACACGCAACATGGGTATTCACGCTAGTTCGAGTTGTATGTTACACAATGAAGGCGCCTTGAGCGCTTTCATATCCATTACAAAATACGATTCCATGACGTATATAAGTACGAATCTCTCATAATAATTGCTAGACGGAAATATCTGAAAGGCGAAATTCGGCAAACTAATTGAATATTCAGAGAATCTAAATTCGTTAATACATCGGTTTAAGCATAGGGTTTCATTCGTCTAAATAAAACTATAATTATATGAAGAAATAATCGTAGTAGTTCAAAGTTGATATGTTTGCATTGCTTAGAAAGAAGCCCGCCGGTCTCAATCGCATATGCTGTACAAGCTGGCAAATAAACTCGTACTTCTACACTGGATGAAGCGAGCGTTTGCTTATCAATGGAATATAGAACCTTAGCAGGAATTTCCACTTTGTGTAGGGTAGAGAGCTTTGTTCGTTAAATAAAACTGTATTCGTGAAACCAAACGACAGACAGTGCTAGGCACGTTAAGTCGCGTGGATAAATTCATACAGAAGACAAAATACATGAAAAGTATTTTGTTTACAAATTGTGTCTATTTTTCTGCTGTACCTATGAACCCCATAACGTGCCTTTGATGGATGTTTCATTAGTGCCCTTTGGATGCTACACTGGAAAAAAACTGCTTTATCAAAGGTACGGGAACGAACAGAACACCTGAGATTTTTCGTTCCGGAACGCGTTTTAAAGTAACTCGCAACATGTTCGATATTTAAACAAAATTGCTCTGAGATTGTTTTTTGTAGGTATTAAACTCACTGCTCACCTCACCTATGTTTAATATCCCTATACTCTTTACTCTTATCAGGAAGAGTGATTTACTATGGGGTAATTAACGTACTGTCCAGTTTTCCGGCGTAAATACGAGCGACAGAAAGCTTATAAACACAGTAATTTCTATTTTATTAGCGTAGTTACATAGTTTCTCTAAATTGCTTTTATAAGGACCCTATCGTAAGGCCCTTTATAAGCTAATGCTGGTCGGTTATACCGAGACTCGTTTCCGATTGGAGAGCTGAGCCAACCATGGAAATCAGTTTTCGAACCCGCGAAACATCGATGAACACAGACATTGTGCGACGGTAAGAGGCAAAAACGAGATACCGCAGTACTCGAGGGCCGTTGTCAATTTGCTCGTCGGACAGTTTCACGTAAGGCCTTCCGTCTTTAAGGGGAACATTGAATGGCAAAAGACCGAGCACCGATAGTGTTCTTTGGTAAGCTTTTAGACCGACGTCATTACGCTACTAACTGGTGCAAATACAGCTAAAGGTCGACGTTTTTATAAAAAGGTAAACCGTAACCCTTCAGTCATCAACGTACGAAAATATAGCGCTAGAAAGATTACGCACCGCATCCGAATCCAGCCTTGTGAACATATGCTGGCGCATGTATGCCGAGAAAGGTCACAAAAAACTTTGGTACAATACTTCCATCATGACGTACTTAAGAGTGACTACAGCCAGCAGTACTACAGTTGTCCGTATTTGCAGCAATTATTGGTATACAACAGTATTCTGGAGCAATTTGGATTGGAGCAATTTCATCAAAACTATCAAATAACTAGCATATTGCTAATGGTACTTTTTGGTTGACATCCCCACTTCCATAAAGCGATAACTGGCTTTTTTCTCAAAGAGCTACAGTGAAAAATAGAGTCTTTCTCTGTGCCGAAAAAATATACGACTGATTTGGCAATATAGGTCCTTTCGCCAGGTTGAGGAAAAAATTCGAGCTTCACTAACATCTCAGTCTTCTGTGTGATCTGTTGTTTGACGCTATCGATATACGAATCTAGAAGATATTCTTACTTATGCACGTACGCGTATCAAGTATTGTGATCATGTATGGATAAAATAGATGGAAACAGATTACGCCGCCGTGCGTATCGTAGAAGACAATGAATACCGCAGAAAGCGGATTTAAAAGGCCTCAGATTCAACCTTCGAGATCATCTTGAAACGATCTCCACAGCACTCCACATGATGCTGCGAGGCCTCTACGTCGATTTGCGAAGTGCAAAAGCGCTTTCGGTTGTCGTAGCTTCATTGAGTGCTACATAAAGCTACTTAACAACACAAGCTTTTAGAACCAGAGATTGCGCCATTTCTACTATACGGCGCAAACTACTATGAGACGAAGTATCTAAAGTGTAAGTAGATAAAACGGAAACAACGTGTGCTATTTCTGTGTTCCATAATTCATATACATTCATAATAAATCCACACGAAACTCTCACCCATACCCACCTTTTCCACACGTTTTTAGGTGAACTGTACACACATTTTCATGTTGACCAGCCTATAGAAATAAACTATATCAGAAACCACTTTCTCTAATCTTTGTCTGCAAAGTTTGCTGGCAATTTCTATATCCGTTCGAAGCTTCCGCAATGGTTCTTCCAGTACAATTTAAGTGAAAGGTTGCTCTGAACATAATCAGATATTGTTGTTTCCATTTTGTATTTGTTAGATCCTCTGTCACAGTAAGGTGTCAATTTTAAAGCACAACAAGTTTGTAGCCGAGGCACGGGAAAGTGTATTGTCGATGCATCTTAGCTTTTCATTGTCTACATTTACATGCCAACCACTATAAAAACAGAACTTTAATGGACCCATAGAAGTTCTTCACAGATGAGTATTACATAATCGATCGGCATGCAGATGAGCGTCGACGAATGGACGTGGCAGAAACTTGTGTAACATGTGATATTAGTGTAAACCGTTTGAGACCGCGAAGTTGTTGTTAAATGCGTTTTTTCCTAACTGTATTGATTGGAATAATTATCGAGTGCTAAAAGTATAATGCGTTTGCCGCCCTAGCAAGCAACTAACTTGCATTACGTCTGCTTGAGGATGCAAAGCACAGATCTATATTCTTATTCATATTGCGTCAGGCTTGACAGCCGACATCTCATCTAACTCGGGTAGGTAGCTGACAACCGCTATACAATCGTCAAATGTTTGTCCATCATCATGGTTACATCGCACTGTAAGACACAAGATCCGTATTGATGCGATTGGAGAGTTCATTTATCTCTAAAAAACTGTTACAAAATATATAACAACTATTTGGGTAATAATTCAAGTGCTTTTTTTACGCAATCGGGCTCTCTACATCTACTACTACGAAGGCTACATCAAAGCTATAGTGTTCAACTGCGTAATGGGTCATGCATGGAAGGTATTGCACGGGACTATAATTAGTTCAAAATAGCAGGCTTTTCGTCTATGATGTTTTTCTGAAGAAGCACTGTAGGAATACTATTATCATTACTGCTGCTACTATACAACTCTCTTATTTTTATCATAAATAGCTATATCTATACACCATAAGACTTAATCGGACTTATATATCAGCCAATGACATTTAATATACGCAGTCAAAGTGATCCCACCTCTATAAAGTTTTACGTCCGGTATCACCCTTAGGCATAATTCCATCAGACAGACAGATGACCGGCCGGCTCCCAGCACGAAATGAACCGTGTAGATACACGGGGTCTGGATTTGAACCCAGGTCAAAACCTATATCTAAAATTAGCAGGCAATAAAAATGCAACATTGAAACATAACTGGTATGTTTTGTCTTGAATCAAATGTGCCCACCATATCTACTATGCTCTCGGCTACAGAAGTTAACAAAAAAATGCAATATAATTAAGTTCTTCTACATCTTTTTCTTTTGTGAATTAATTACTCCTTACTTTATTTACAATTTAAATTTAGAGCTTAACCAAGCACCTTTTTTAGCAAATGAAATCTAGCACGTATCATAATTATAAAGCAGAATCTCTGATCAACGCTTAGCGTGGGTAAAATCATCCGGATGTATGGCTCGATAAACGTTCCGTTCCCAATCAATTTCAAAATTAATTAAACAACGCCAACTTCCGTACCGCATCTTGTTGGTGTTCCGATTCCAAACGCAATTGAGAATCATCTGGTGCATGGATTAATGACCCAGAAGTTATAAAAACTATTTGAAGACTGCGCTTGAATATATCATCGGTAACAGAGGGACGTAGAAGATCTGTGCATTATCATACGCAAAATATTCAAATGTTTTCGATTTGCGCTCAGCAGTGGTTATCCAAGCTGATCTATTCTAATAGAAATCTATTTGTGCAAATAGATGGTCATTCCTTTCGCCAGTTACCGATAATAGACCTTTTATGCAAAGCTACCACGCATTTGTAGTGCAGCTTTTTGTCAGCTGGCATGGGCATCGCTTAGGTGCAAGCCAGCATCACTTAGTAGTTAAAAGGCAGCGCCAGAATGGAACAAAATTTCGCACTAGCTTCCTCACACATTCGACATATACTAGCCAAAAATGAGCACAACAATTAGTTCGTTTTTTATATTAAACACCATATAGTATCTGTTTATTCAAAAACAAATCGATACGTATTGCCACATGTATATTGAGAAAACATACTTCAGCCCGATCTACACCCACGCATACACACAGATATAACCCTACAATGGTCATTGACATTATCACATCGTATTGTTTTTGTTTATGCAGTACAGTACTGTTTGGTCATGAAACGATTCTTCTCATTTCTTCCGTTCGTTTAGTCTTTGTTTTCAAACGCCCAGTTTTCACCTCTGCAGCAAATCCAATTTTCGATTATATTCCTCGCGCTATTCCTATCGCACATAGACGTTAAATAGAAACGGGACACTCTAGAACATGCGAAAATCTTCGGCGGACCGCGCTAGGCGTTTTACTGAAGGATATCCCATGCTATGTGTCTACGTACCCACCATAGTTGCTGATAAATGCACTAAAATTTGAAACTGCCCGTCGGTCACCAACTATTACTCCACTACTAGTTATAACTAATCAGTGGGCCCGTAGCGCCTTTCCCGTTCTTCGCTTCTTGCTCAAGAAGACCAACGCCAAGCTATTCAATTGTACACTGGCTACCTTAGATGCAAATAGGCTGGAAGGGTGTGTGTACGTTTATCTGATCAAGGACACATGTACTACCGTTTGAACGTCTCACTGCAACAAGCAACCGAACTCATACTGCCTATCAACAAATAAACCTATGCTCTCACTGCGGTATCGAGCTACAGCCAATACTTCATGGTTCGCGACAGTCTAGCAGCTGTGTCGCTGCCGTACCATGCATGAACCTATCTCGTATTTTTTTTTTTTACTTCTACGCATAGTAGCTAGTTTTTCGAGAAAAACAAAGTGATTCGCCTGACTGGTCTGACTTCGCGAGGCGACGATGAATAGCGCGCAACTTGTGTAATTGTTCAGATTGTGTCCATTTATAACACCGCGTGCGATAAGTGAAGACTAACACACGATAAAGGGTTAATGAACGTATGATATTCCGACCTGAAATTTGAAGACACATTGAAGTATCACTTGTCGATTGCGATTTTCAGTAAACTGAATACCGTTATCATAATCGGTTATAAAATCGGATACGGTAATAACCATTATGTGGAGCAAGTTCAACTCACAAGTGCAAACAGGCGCATTAAGTTAAAATAATAATGCAATTATCATAGTTTATATTTACTTAGCATATTGCTATCATCATGACTATTATAAAGCACTGTCTTAACTCGACCCCCGCTAAAAAGTGCTATTTATATACTGCTAGTTTCTCTATCATCCATGATATTTTTACTGTTCGAACAGTTCCAGCTAGTCTATCTGCAAGTACTATAAATCAGAAACCTTAAGCAATTTCTTGATTCGACAATAAAATATATATTTTTTGGGTAGAACTGATATTTTTTGCGCCGACGATATATCAATTATACAAGCTAGCATTCGAAGTCTATGTTACCACTTTAACTATCAGATATTGTAGAGCTGGTCAAATGATTCAATAAAAATTTTGTTATTTATTTTCTGGCTCTTTGCGGCTCTTTTAAATTTTTTTTGCAATGTATAATCTCCTACACGCACCTTTCTTATTTTTAGTATAATAGTTAGAAACAACGCTGTACAACTTTTCGTAGATGCAGCTTCTGTCAGGTTGCATGCACATCTCAGCGTTCTTAACCAATATTGTTAATCTCATTATATTCTTAATATGGCTATTACACCGTCATCGTATAAGAAACTTATTGGACGCGAGACACATCTACTAAATCTAGTAGGCACACTTTTAACAGCTATCGTGTCTTTGGTATCACTCCCATCATTTTAATAAGGTTATAATGTATAATTGGTAATTATATTCCTCCTCAACAAATCCAGCTTTTTACTCCAAACACTTCATGAATTACTTGCTATTTATACCCTTTATTCTTGTTCACTTAGGACATTTTGTCCTAAAGTACTCCGTATACCTATTTTCCTGCCGATGCTCGACGTTTTAGCTCGCCTTCCACTGCAATTGCCTCAGCACGCAAAAATCTTCACGAATCTCACCCTTCGGTTTCTTTTCTAAAGCCGAAAAATAAATCTCCGGAAAGCTGATCAAGGAAGAAAATGACAGAGAATGCTAGAACGACTGAAGAAACAAATGACAGAGAATGCTAGAACGACTGAAGAAACAATCTACCATAATTCGAACTCTGTGGATCATTTTTTAGCGAGATGTTTTTACACTTTTCTTGAGAAGCTTTGTCTTCAGTTAGTTCTTTGTTATTTTATAACAGTATTTTTATGCTTAGTGAATCATCTGGGTGCATTACGCAAGGACTAGTCCTGTTTAGGTCGACTTTTGGACGCTGAACTCGATGTTGATGTGGGTACTGCTGCTTTACTGCTGTTGGCTTCTCCTGATACAGTTTGTGCAGATTCCGTTGTGTCCTGCTGTATAATAGCACCTTTCTGTCTCTTTTGCTCATCTTCGGCGCTGGTTCCAAATTCGTTGATGCGCCTCGGATCCACCCGGTAAATCCATCGCTGGTACAGATAAATCAGAAATACGATGTCGTCACGGAAACAACCGATTCTGTACATCATTGGCATCTTGATGACGAACGCGAAAATGTCATCAATGAACGTGTTGAGGAATTTATAACTCAGCATACGCCAGGGCAGGTGCGCTACCGACTTGAGCTTGTAATTAATGAATAGCTGTGGTGTCATCATGATAAAGCCGAACGTCAACAAAAACCCATACACCATCGAAACGATAAACGAATACCAACCCTTGTGCTCATGGTACATAAGTGAATACCCGCAGTAGCCGACAATTAAAGGGAACAGTGCAACACCGAGGTATTTGAAGGCCATTTCGTCATATTCTTTGGTGGACGATTCCACATAGGTTCCCTTGTCTTCAAAGTGAATTTTGAGTGGCAAGAGACCAAACACGGATCGTGTTTCGCGATCGATTCTGATGTTAACCACCTTTTTGACTTTCCAACACTCAATGCACATGCCAGCAAAGACGGAGAACTTCACAACGGGATTTGTGTCGTTATCAAGAATGTACAGTAATACAATTAGAGATTGGAAGACATTGAAGAATACCGATCGAACCGACAATCCCTCGAGAGATTTACGTTCTTTCCAGAACTGAATATCGTTCTTGAATGCTAGGAATTCAAATACGGAATGCACTAGGCTGACGACCACAGTCATGCCCAGTAGATACGGATTCGTATCAAGTAGAGCCTCCTTAAGGGCGTCCTGGTCTTCTGTAGCCTCGTCTGTCCCGACCATCATCCAGGACACCATAGATTTACGCATCGACTGAGCCACATACAGCTGCCATTTGAACAGAGTCATCGGTTGAAATGTAAAAAAGACTGGCAGGGTTTGCGTCGTTTCGTTGATTGGGTAGTAATCCTTATTGAGATTCCAATAGTCGTTGAGGTATAGGATGGGATAATACTTATTTTCATGCGGATCAAACTCAACATACTCGTCGAGAGGTTTCGGCACTTTGCCCTGTACCCAGGCAGTGTGGTCATCGACAATGTTAATTGTTAGATTTGGATGCCACATGGACAAAATCTCAAAGGTCGTCAATTCGGCTTTCTGTTGATCCTCGACCGATTGCTCAGTCTCACCAGTAAGCAGGTTATGGGTCCTTTTGTACACTTTTTTCTTGAATTTGTTCAGTTGTCTCGACCGATGAATTACTTGTTCCTGGAGAAAGTTCGGCTGGCTTGGATCAGGACTTTTTCCGGATAGCACTGTGTACACATGAAAAAAGATCGTGCCGTTATTGATCATCTTATCGGTCGGTTTAAATGAGCCATTAAAATAGAACAGCCCATCAAAGTTCGGCCCTGAACTCCAGTCTCCATAGACAAGGTTTTCCTGTTTCCACAGCAATGCATTAGGATTTTTAAAGTGTAGGTTGCTATGTTCGTCGTCTGAGACATACACGTAGAGGTCGAAAGGCGTTCCATTGCTCCAGATATTCGAGCTGGCCTGCATCGCTACCGTGGGCACAGAGCCACCGCCGCTAGCCGTGCCATTTTGCGTGGTAGCTGGCGTTCGCTTGAAGTACGAGCTGACCAAGTAGATGATCAGTGCGCGCATTAGAAGGCCCTTGAGCACCGAACCTATCGTTGTACCCTGCTGCTGTGGTTGCAGTTGTTGCTGCTGGTCGTCGCCACCTCCACCGTCGGCAGTCGCCTCATTACCCGCAACGCCACCTTGAGCATCATTAGTCAGCACCATCTGCCCGGCAGGGGCTTGTTCCCCTTGTCCCGCAGACTGCCGTGCCCCACTGCCGTTGGCCGGAGATGAGGGCTCGAGTGCCCGTACTCCTTCTGCCATATCAGCAATCTATCAATGCTAACGCGTTGCACCTCACTATTACGAGATAGAAAACAGGTTCAGTTGGTACCTTTTCACTCCGTGCTTTCTCACTGCTATCGCTACCAGTGTCGCCCGAATTCAGTTTCAGAGGTCCCGTGACGACCAGCTCGTATTTACAACCAGCACGTACGAGCCGCTGGGGTGGGCCACGAGAGACTTGCAGTGTAACTGCTCGCTTGCGGTAGTCAGTCACTTGGAGTTGTTTGTCACATCGGCAACACGTATAGCTGCCGACAACACTAACAGCACGGGCCTCGCCGTGCGTTTCTGCTCAGTCAAATTATTTCCTGATTATTATTATTATATTGCTATCATCTATTATTATACTGAGTGGCTGACGTTTGCAGCAGAAAGTATTTGCTACACCACTCCTACTACTCACACAGCTCCCTCATCCTGGCTGCTAATAGTACCAGCTATCTCCATGGAGACGTCGACCGCCGGCTCTCTCTTCGAACATCAGCAGGTACGAGACGGTAACTCGAAATCGCGCGCCTGCTTAAAGCTGCGTGCTGTTTTGCGAGTGCCTGCGCATATTCAGCGGCGCTCTGCCAGTGGTCGCTTGTATTCAAATAAAAAGTAATCTTTGACTTTGTCTTAATTTGTAGGATTAGCGGTTCAAAACTACAATGCCAAATAGTTTACGATGATTAACAATTAGGCGCTACTTATTGAGTGTCAGATTCACGATAAGTGCGCAATTCCTATTGCAATATCGTCGTATTGACATATCAACCCGTATATGCCCGAGTACCGTGCGTTATGTCGGCATTGGCCGCGTCAGCTGCAAACCCAAAGGCCAAACATCGTCGCGTCCAGTAGTTAGGATACGACGCGGCGCCACCGTTGCCACCATTAAATCTACTAAACCCATCAAAGGCGCGAACAGCTGACCGACTTTTCGATGTTCCGCTCCGTCCCTTCATGTACTGTATCGTATTTACACTAGTGACGTCATCGACCTCGCACTCACGCCACCAGCGCCGCCTGGTGCTGCTCACGCACAACTCGCGGTGGAGGGACGAGTACCGAGAATCGAGTCATTTGAAAGATGGCGGTCCGCAGCGTCGGAGCCCAGTACACTGCATTGTGAGAGCAGCAACGAGCCGAAGGAGGGAGCACCACAGCACTGCAAGAAACCAACAAAACACAGCCGCATAGCGAGCGAACCTGCACCGTCGTTACTCTGATAGAGGAGTTGCCTTGGGTGGCTGACAAAAGAAGACACTAGTGACAAAAAAAACTCTCTAGGTGCAGCTTTGAGGCTACCAGACGGTGGAAATAAATAAACAGGGAGACAGTGACAGAGTGATCCGTTTGCCGCATTGTTGTCGTCGTAGCCGTAACTAGAAAAATTTCATTTTTGTTTCTCTCACGAGAAAGAAGTCAGTCTCTTTCCAACAGGCTGCTGCTGCTGTTACTTCTTTTCTACCAACCTGTCTGAGTGACTGACCGAGTGCTTGGCAGAAAACAGCAAAAAGGCGCACGCACTTTTCTGCCAGCAGCATCACGGTGATAGTGTGCGTGTGCATTTATTTATATGTCTGTTTGTGATAACGGCCCGGTCTTTATTGTTCCTTTTCCCTGGTGGTTTCGTATCATCCCTGTCTGAAGATTGACGTTTTCAACCGAGTAATGATGGCATGTGCAAATACATGGCAACAATCATTGCATCACTGAATAGATTGCATTTTGCTTTATTGTCAGCGGATAGAGCCGTTCGTTGAGAGCTCGGTCTGGTGCTGATAGTGTCAATGTCATGTTGTTTTCGTCCGCTGTCCGGTGAAAATCACGACAAATACCCGTTTTTAAATTGCAGTTTGCAGTGTTAACGAGTAGGTGGTGGGGCAAAAAGCCTACAGCACAAAATAGATCAACCGGTCGTTCTCGAGTCGCCCAGAATCGCTTCGATGTTCTACTCACCTGGGCAGCTGACGGTTCAGTTTATGAATGATACTATATTACTAATCAACTTCAATGATGTGTAAAGTGCGTGAAACTGTATTGCTATTTTTCGAGGTTGCACTGAACTGAACTAGGCAGCAGGTTCTTCAGGCAATCGGTCAGCGAGGGAAGCGAGCAGCACTTCTCCGACCGTGTCCGTGGGCACGGGTTATAGCAGCCAAGTGTTAACGTATTGTGCCTGTGGTTGTGCTCCTATCATTTCGTCTCGACGTATTTTACGACAGCCGCCGGTGGCCATTGTGTACATGCGGTGGCGACGACGACGGCGACGATTGTTTTTACGTACTTCGATTACAGATAAACTATTGTGGCGTCTTCATTTTTGCCTTCATCTACATCTACGTCTTCACATGTGTAAGTACTAGATTAGGATAGGTATGACGTGAAAGAAAACAGCGAGCAAGGACTGTAAACGTGTGCATGTAAACACAAATGGCACGCGGCAACGAAAATAACAACAGAATACAAAGGCAATTCGGGAAATTATCATAGTTATTGATTGTGTCACACTTATTGCCCAGACGAAAGACAAAGTTAACGCATGCAATCGAACAGTAACGACCGTGAGGAAATTATTAGCTCAAAAAGCATTTTTATGTCTTTCATTAACTATGTTTATGCACATGCATAATAGTCCATACAGATGAACAAACAGACGAAGAGACAGATGGATCCGTGATTATCGAAGGGAAGATGCCGATTTTTTTTTTTATCGGATACGACAGAATTAAAAGCTGTAACGACAGTTTGCACCAAATCTTGATCTACTTGCCGTATCGTCAACAACAGCAATTTTTATTGCGTGCTTTAGATATGCCGTTTCGCTTATAATTCGCACTAGTAGTATCTATTGCGTCAAATATGATAACTAGTGGTTCAGTATAAAGACTTTTCTGCTTTGGCTTACGAGCCTGTTGTGTTCGTTGTATTTATGGCAATTACGTATAGAGAGGTTCTGTTGACTGCTATTGCTTTAACCATTTACTCGCTTACGGGATCACCTATTCAATTCGCCGCTGAGCTGGCTGAAGTTGTAGTCATTGGAGTTGTTGTCTCCTCCTGGCGATGGCAAACACACAACATAGTGTACAGCAGGCGTGCGCGGTTCGCGTGCTTGGCGGGCTTAGCCATCACGGCACCGAGGTCGAGTAGACAAGCAAGTATTTCAGTTAGAAATAAGATGCAAATGAAGGGTTTAGAGCTGAGCGCTCTTTGAGGTGTTGTTCTTTTAGCTGGTTCTGTATGTTGGTTGGTGGTTGTGGCAGTGATAGGTATTTTGAGGATGGGAAACCGGCCAGAAATAGGTCGAAGGCTACTACAACTGCCAGCAAGAAATAAGCACGTTGGCCGAATCCGTACGGCCAAAGAGCTCACATCATGACAACAACGTTTCTACAACTACCTTTATACCAATTGCTGTTGTTACTAGACTGTATGATAGAAAACTTACTTCATGCATGCTGCTGCATGCACTCGACAGATACAATATATTTTGCCTATAGCTGACCGCTGTTGCCGCAGGGCAGCAGGTTGATACACGCAAGCCCCTCGCGTATGTACAAATATATTATGGAGCTTACTTGGAAAGCGCCTGCCATATTCTTGGACGGTACGTTTCCCTCGGTGCCTTAGACGTAGGGCAAACCGAGCAGACCCACTCTAGCAGAGTAAGGAGAAGCCGGGCGGGCAAGCAGATCGTCATCGAGCGCAAAATTTAACCTGCTTACAGCCCCATTGTTGTATTGGACTACCTAGTTATTACTAACCTACTAGTCTATATTTGTACATTCAACTCTTGGCGTAGTCAGGCCGTTGGACTTACGACCTTTCGATTTTCGTTGCAGCTGGTCCGATGGCTGTGCTCACGCAAGTCTCAGGGATGCGAGTTAATTGACAACCGTGGCCACTTGAAACATAGAACTGCGAGAGCCATGGACTACCAGTAATAATAATGCTGATGATAATTAGATCGTAGCGCGCGTAAATCCGCTGAACAATAAGACGGAGGATTTTGCGAAAGAGGAAATGGGTCATGGTCTGTGCTATACGGTCAAGTACATTTGATACTATATGTATATATATTGCCTATGAATCATTGTATTAAGTTGGAATCACGACCATTGCGACATTCGGCCGGTGGGGTAACAACCTCCGTTCTCTTTATACCTTTGCACCTTTTAACTCGAAGCCAGATTTACTAGCATAGCCCAGTCAAGCGAACCCTCAGCCTTGTGTCGATCGTTGTTTCCTTTTTAACGGCAGCAATGAATCTTCCTGTCGTCCTGCTGCAACCATGCTTATGCATGATATGAGGCAGTTCTATACACAAGTATCGCCATGGCTTTTCGACATCTATGCATATATAATAAAAATCAGGTCATTGAGAGTTGCGGGCCGATTATTCGATGTTCACATTTTCTTCCTGTCTTCTGGTTGCCCCTTACAATCATTCTTTGCCAAGAGATAATAATGTTGTTTCTGGTATAATAATACACTCGCGATAACGTGGGAGCCGACTGCCGATCGCTGTCGGCATGCAGCCCTTGGCGTCCGTGCTAGTCGGTTGTAGCCTCCGTTGAAAAAAACTCTACGCTGCCGATATCGTCTGCTTTAGAGGAGAGTGTCGTCGAACAAACAGCTACAACAAAGAACATCAGCAATGGGTCATGGGAGCAATGCGTTTTAAGGGAGACCATCCATATTGGCTCGATGTTTGATAATAGGGTGAAAGGAAATGGCTGCATTCTATGAGCTAAATTCATGAGAGCCGTTCTCAACTGCTAGCTTGGTTGAGTCGATCGAGAAAGGGAGAATAGAAGACTCTAACCTGGGGGCCACTGTTTATGCTACCGGTTATCCTGCAATGAGCGACCGCCAAAAATTCAAATCAGCCAAAAATCATTGCTCTGAAATTCTGTACGAGATCTGTATTGTGCTTGACGTTGTTACGGACTTCCGCGTGCTAGACGGATCTTTGAATATTTGCGTGTTTTGCACGGACAGTAAATGACCGTACAGAAATAGCAGACGACTACTCTGTAAATACGTAGTGCGTCTTTCGATTGTCCATTAAGTTTACATGATTTCTGATTCGTTTGAACAAACTACGAAGATGACACCTTATTCATATGTTGATCAGATTTATTCGTCGGGTTAGGCTGTCGGACCGGGCTCAATTTTCGGGTTGTTGTGAAAGGTTATTTAATCGGAAACAATAAGCATGCATTCGGGCGTCGTTTTTGACCAGCGGCGGCGGCGTATAGTCACCTGCCAGATGATAAGCGCTACCAATGATTTTCAAAACTTATTATCGAGCTATATTGAGCCTTTAACAGAATACACAATTCACGCACCAAATACTGTTTTTGCAATTTGACGATTTCCACAGCAGAAGGCGTCGAGTGCGTAAGTTAGAATCACGGTAGGACAGTAAAATAGAATGAAAGTATAATTCAGTCCCCTTCCTTGCTAACTAGAAGCTACGCATTAACAAGCCAATAGGCTGATGCTTTATCACCTTTAGCAAACTGAAGTTTAAACTTAAGTTTGATATATATATACGGTGGCAGTACTTTAAACATTCCTTTCTATTCTGTTTTCTTTACACGCATTTAATACTGCAGGCATTTTTCTAACACTATGCGAACTAAGTCCACAACTAGAAAGTACTACCATAGCAGTAGTATCCGAAAAAGGATATGGTCTCAATTACGCCCGTATACCTCATATACATCCAGCCAGTCGTTTTTTCGTAAACAGTTTTCAACATTTTTGTTGGCTTGCCGTACTACTCTTGGGCTCTATATTCATCTTTCCAACAAAACCGCCCCCTAATAGTCTAGTTAGTCATGTAAGTGGCACCAGAAGCCCCCAACACTTCAGCCGTGAGGTTAGCCCGATGTTTTTCCCAGGCGATCGGCTTGTGTGTATCGGCGACAGCAGCGTGGGAGGCAAGTAGCCAGACAGGTAGCCGACTTGAAAAACAACTCATCACCACCGAGATGGTGCAGGTTCTATTTATGCGCGTTGTGTTGAGTCGACTGCAGCTTTTCGTCGTTTTTCTCTCTTCTCGTAGGGGTGTACGTGTATGGCCTCGAGTGCTTCGTCTTCGTGAAGACGATCACTTTTACTACATAGACGAGGCGAATGCACAACGAAGCCCACTGCCTGGCTGTTAGCTTGCTCGTAGTCGGGGCAGTCTACAGGAGCCAGGGCCGAATGCTCGAACGGGCGAGCAGGCGGTGTATGCGCGTTTGTGAAATTTATGTGGGGTGATGACGGTGCTGGTGATGGCAGTCGTGCAGAAGTGCCGCATGCTAGAGCTCCATGAGCTAGCATTAGCTGGCAGGGAGCCTCTAGCCTTCTCAGTTCTTCGAGTCTTGTCGCGATTCTGCGGGGCCAAATGATGCTGGTGATGACGTCAAGAAGGTGATGCAGCCTGCCGGCTTGCCTGAGTGGTGAAAAAATGGGTCGAATGTACGCGGAATCTATTCTCCTACCGATGCTACTGCTCCAAGGGATACTAAAATAACTCTGGTTGTTATCAAGGCAAGAAGATGGCTCGCCTGCTCGATTTAAGTTAGCTTAGCTTAACTTTTGGTTATAGTCGCTGCACTGGTGTTTTCCCCGCTCTCTTCAACGTTCTGCTCTTTTTTGTCCGGTTCATTTACTTGTCTCGTCCTTATTGCTTGATAGACTGCTTCTACACCGTGGGTACTGACATTTAGTTCTGCCGTGGCAGCTTGTTGCTATTCGAAAAACAGACCAGCTGTCGCTGCTTCTGCGTCTATCGATTTGCTTCTGCACCCCGGTCAAATATACACATATATATATATATATATATATATACAGTAACGCATTCCTCTGTAAAACAGTAATATAGATCTTTTCTGATCTGCCTTAACTCTCCTGCGTGTTCGCCTATGCACATAACAATTTTCAACAGAAAAGACCTGGCTCGACAAGAAACAGAGCCTGTCGCGTTTGTTGTGGCATTTTGTTCAACGATTGTCGATTTGGAACGAAGGGCCTGTATGGTTTGCGCATGAGGAGGAACCGCGAAGGGACCACGCCATGGTTGATAGCGTGCCCGTGCCTCGCACTGCATTTTATATGGGAGTAATCGACGCTACCCTCACGCGTTGAGGGGATTCCATGAACAAAGAAGCAGTAACGTAGCTGAGACTGATAGCCTCGAACGAAGACGAAAGCGAAAATTACCGAGGAAAACTGACAATTCTTCTTGAGGCACCATGCGTTCCCCACTCTCCTTCTGCATTTCAGTATCATCATATGATTATGTGCTGTACTCATGTATAGTTAAAGGGGTGGAAATATGGCTGCGTAGTGACGAT